ACCTCTTCACGATGTCAATTTATTCATGTGCATCACTTTCGCGGAAAATACGTCGATCAAAAAGCGAAGAATCAAGGGAATGAGGTTCGAAGCGAGGGAGAAAGGGAGTTTTCAAGGCAAAAAGGGAATAAGGGAGAAAACAAGGGAAAAAACGGTTGAATGCTGGACGAAACGTACCTTGTTCCCTCGAATGCTCCCTCGTTCCCGAACTTCTCGTCAGCAGTGATACTCACGTTCACATCACCTAACGGTGAGTGCTCGATCCCTTCTGGCAAGCCACAAGATCACTTCGCGACTATGAGTGACAATGCTCACAGAAATCCTATGCCAATCGATGATGAATTACAAAGTACTATTGCCGCCTCGTTTGGGCTGGAACTTAATGATCATCAGACTTGTGCTGGCACTACAGTCACATTTGATGACGACGGTACGGTTTCACATCACAACCAAGATCCCTTTGCGAATACAAGGAGTCGCACCGATGCCAGAAGGAGATTTCATAAGACAATCGATGAAGTACCAAGTATTGTTGGGCATTTATCAAAGGAACAGAAGGAGGAAGACGAAGATTTTGATGCTCGTTCTGCCATCACAATTGATAGCAAGCAAGCGAGCAATCTTGGTATGAGACAAGACCCCTTCTCGAATAGGAGGGGAAGCGAGGATGGCAGAAGCGTAATTCATGAGACAATTGATGAAGTACAGTCGTCGAACGAAGAGGACGACACCATTTCTGAAGCAAGTCCTGTAGGGCCACATTATGATCCTAGACCGCCCTCCAATGAAGCCTCAGCTCCACGACATCAAGTTGCTCTAGATGGTGACGACTTGTCTTTTGGAGTGGAAGCAGATGGAGTGCCATATTTGCGACCGTCAGCGAAAACAGCAAACGAGAAATTTGATCGAGAACAACGACGTCTCAAAGATGAACTCAGTCAACAGTTAAAAGCAAAGGGAGTGATGGATCCAGAGGTGACTATGATTTACAACAAGATTACACAGCAACAGTTTGATCAAGAAACAGGACGTTTATGGGGTGAACTTGATAACCAATTGCAAGAAAAGGGTGTGGAAAAGGGCTTGATGGACCGGGATGTGGCAGGGACATACAACGAGATTGCACAGCACCTTTTCCGTAAAGGAAGATTTGAGGAAGCCATGGAAATTTTTCAACAGAGTTTGAAAATTGAAAAAAAAGTCTTTCAATGTGATGATCATCCGGAAATGGCATCTACATTTCATAATATTGCTAGTGTGTTGCGAAATCAAGGCAAGTACGAGGACGCAATGGAGCAATACCAAACGGCGCTTGGGATGAAATTGAAGGCAATTGGACCGGACCATTTCGAAACGGCAAAAACATATCACTGTATTGGAAACGTCTTGCGAGATCAAGGCAAGTACGAGGAGGCCATGGAGCAATACCAAACGGCGCTTGAGATCAATTTGAAGGCTCTTGGACCGGACCATTCCTCGACTGCAGACACATATCACGAGATAGGAAACGTCTTGTACAATCAAGGCAAGTACGAGGAGGCCATGGAGAAACACCAAACGGCGCTTGAGATAGAATTGAAAGCACTTGGACCGGACCATTCGTCGACTGCAGCAACGTATCACGAGATTGGAAATGTCTTGCACAAACAAGGCAAGTACGCAGCTGCAATGGAACAATACCAAAGGGCGCTCGAGATCCAATTGAAGGCACTTGGTCCGTACCATTCCTCAATTGCAACAACGTATCACAATATTGCTAGTTCCTTGCGGAATCAAGGCAAATACGAGGACGCAATGGAGCAATATCAAAGGGCGATTAATATGAAATTGAAGGCACTTGGACCGGACCATTCGTCGACTGCAGCAACATATCACCAGATAGGAAACGTCTTGTCCAATCAAGGCAAGTACGAGGACGCAATGGAGCAATGCGAAAGGGCGCTTGAGATCCAATTGAAGACACTTGGACCAGACCACTCATCAACTGCTGCAACATATCACGAGATAGGAAACGTCTTGTACAATCAAGGCAAGTACGAGAACGCAATGGAACAGTACCAAATGGCGCTTGAGATCAAATTGAAGGCACTTGGGCCGGACCATTCTTCGACTGCAACAACATATCACTGTATTGGAAGCGTCTTAGAAAGTCAAGGCAAGAACAAGAACGCAATGAAGCAATACCAAACGGCGCTCGAAATCAAATTGAAGACACGTGGACCGTACCATTCCTCAACTGCAGCAACATATCACAAGATTGGAAACGTGTTGTGCAATCAAGGCAAGTACAAGGACGCCATGGATCAATGCCAAAGGGCGCTTGAGATCCAGTTGGAGACACTTGGATCGGATCATTCCTCGACCGCAGCAACCTATCACGGGATAGGAAACGTCTTTCGAAATCAAGGCAAGTACGAGGACGCAATGGAGCAATATCAACTGGCGGTTGAGATCCAATTGAAGACACTTGGACCGGGCCATTCCTCGACTGCAAAAACGTACCACTCTATTGGAAACGTCTTGCACAATCAAGGCAAGTACGAGGACGCAATGGAGCAATACCAAATGGCATTTGAAATCAAATTGAAGGCACTTGGACCGGGCCATTCGTCAACTGTAGCAACATATCACAAGATTGGAAACTTCTTGCGAGATCAAGGCAAGTACGAGGACGTAAGGGAGCAATGCCAAAGGGCGTATGAGATTTTTGCAACGTATCACGAGATTGGAAATGTCTTGGAATACCAAGACAGCTTTTAGGGTGCTGTATGCAGCAATACCAAAGGGCCAGAGTGGTGACCAAGACGATGCAGTGGATCTTTTTGAGAAAGGCGATCGGGATTATGTGGAAGGATGTACAAGAGTAGAGGACCAACCAGCTCTTGCCAAGATCTACATCACCATGGCTGGCTGACATATTGAAGACTCGGCCGTCACAGTTCTATGACAAGGCATTCGCTATTCGAAGCAAAGTCTTTGGTGAGGTTTGGCAGAAAAACGGCGAGCTTCCATCGCTGGAAGGCTGATGAAGAATCTAATTGTACAGAGAGTACCATCGTTGTTTATATGGCTGGATGTACTAGTCCTAGCATTTTTGCGTATCCCTGTTCATTTCGTCGGAATCCCCTCCTGTAATCGAAACGCCACACTGCTTGCAGTCTTGGTCTCTGCATATGGTGCATTGGCATCACGGTAGGCTTTGCTTCAAATATTTGTACTGCTTCATCCACCGCACTTGCAACTTCACTTTTTCAGAGAGCAATATTTTCTTCGTACAGGCCCAGTTCGATTAAAGACGTCATATTTCCAAAGCATCTCTTGCCGCAAGGGATCACAGAGTCCATTTCTGTGTTGGCTTCTATGTCGTCTCAGTGGAGTATCCATGGTTTCAGAATGACTTTCCACTGCCTATTTTTTACCACCGATTTTGTATTGATACAAATAACAAGTATAATAGCTCCAGAGACTATAATAACATTGTGTTCAAAAACCACCCGAAAAAATCAAACGAAACCAGCCAATACTATCTATCATCGTAACGAAACTACAGTAGTCGTCGGAGTCAAAAAGCGTCGGCTTCCGATAACCAACCGTTGAGGCAACGCCAGAAATGCCGATCGACAGCACCTATGAAGTGACTGTCCCGTCTAACTAATAGAACAGATAGATCCGCACCGCAGGTGTGCTGTAAATCACTTTAGTCTTTTAGAATTTTCAGAAAACAATGAGGATTGCAAAACACTTTGCAATTGCATTGTATTCTGAACATTCGCTTTCTACTTGTTCTAAAGATTCTCGTTGTCGTAAGCTAATACGTCCACGAGTACCAGTCATACTCCGACCAATACATTCCAACCAATATGCCGTGGGACATGTAATTGTAATAAACGTGATTGGCGTTCGTGACTGGTGAGTCACTAATGGCAAATCAGCTTTGCTCCAACGCACTCCTGTGTCCAAGTGCATTAGGAGTATTGGTCGGAAGGGTTCATAATGAGGTTTCTGAATGTGCGGAACAGTGTTCCCTGCGTAGGCTTGGTGAAGAAGTCTCCCAGCATTTTGGCTGTCGGGCAGTGAAGTACTCTCATGAATCCACTCTTGATCTTGTCAGTAATAGAAAAGTATCGCACGTCGAGGGCTCTTGTCTTCCTGCCGCAAGATGATCTTCCATTCTTCTCCAGCAGCATGGCGCTCTGATTGTCCTGGTGGATGATGTTGTCGACTACTTCGTATCCTTGTGAAATGATGAAGTATCTGGACCACATGATCATAGGTAGTGCATCGTGTACTCCAACCAACTCTGCTACAGTCGAACTGTCGGTATTGATCTTTTGCTTGGTTGAGATAGCGATGATGGCGCCCTTACCCATGGTCAATACAGCACCAGTGTGGCTCTTCATGTCCTTGTGAACTGCGAAGGACGCGTCCACCCACCATTGCATGACAAACTTGTCGTCCAACTCAATTGTCAGGGGCATGTACTTGGTAGCTCTCAAATATTTGATGGATCGGCCCAATTTTGCATAATCGTCTTCGTCTGGCTTGGAGACTCTGGTTGTCAAAAATGCAACTGCAGTCATTAAGTCCCCTCTGACTCTCTTGCATAGGTATAAAAGTTTTGCCGTAATGTGGTGGAATAGTTCGGCCCTCTTGCTGTCCAACAATACCGGCTCATTCTTGACTTGGAATAGATGATTGGCGGCCGGTGATGTAGCCAGTCCTTTCATATCCTCTGGGGTTTCTTCGAGTAACCTGTCGACGTAATCATCCATGGAAAACTTTACCTTTCCTTTTTCGCTGAAATCGATCGTGACCCCAAGGTATTCGTGCACGTCACCTCTCTGGATTGTGAGGGGTGCCTCCTTTCCGTACCTTTCACTCAGTCTAGATGCAATATCCTCAAGGACTTCTTGCTCCATGTGGGAAACCTTCAAGTCGTCGACATGCCAGATGATGGTGCATTGCTTTCCATTGATCATCTTGTTGACAACGCAGCTGTCATACGGGTTGGCCTCGTACCCCAATTCGTCCACCAGGAACCCAGAAAGGTTCTTCCACCAGCACAACGCTCCTTGCAAGGTCCCGTAGAGGTTCTTGTTCAGCTGTGCATAGATGACCGGCTTCTTTCCTTCATATGCAACGTATTTAGTGTAAAGGGCTGGGTCAACTTTTGTTAGTAGTTCGGCTATCTCCCCTTCGAACTTGACGTGGATAATCTCGTCTGTATCAGCCTGCATGAATGCTCCAGGAATGTCGATTGTCATGACCTTGCGGCCTTCTTTGGCATCAATTGCGCACGTGATCATGAAGGACTCGGTGCGTACAGTCGGCGCGGATGTCTCTTCCTTTGTTTTGTAGAGACGTTGGCGGCGCCCGTCGGCGCATCCGCGGGCCTTGACCTTTCCACATCTCTTTTCCTTCAGGAACATTAGGTATCTCAAGGCGTTCCTCCTTTGTTCTGGTGTCAGTTGGCTCCTGTACTTGGGCGATAGCACATTCCTGTAGTGTATCTGATGCATCTCCGCCACGATGGCCTCTGCTCCTGATTCTCCAAACACTTTCAATCCTTTCTTTGCTGACATTTGTTCTGTTAGAAAAGCCACTTCATGATGGAACAAGGTTACCATCTCTGTGTATTCCGGTACAGGTTCGTCCCTGTGTGGAACCTGGATGAGGACCTGGTGATCTCCATGAGTTGTTGGGTATTTTCTGGGACGAAGGTTCCTTCCATGTCCTCTTTCACCATACGCTCTATCCATGTCATCATTGATTTGTTGTTGATTCTGATTTTGGGTCAAGTTCTGAAGTTCTTGTACTTCCTGTTGCACCTCTTGTTGGATCTCTTCGATCAATTCATCCAGTTGTGTGTCCGCGGCAGCTTGTTCTCGGGCGTCATCATCTTCCGAACTGTAGTCACTGTCATCACTGGTTGTGGAACCGCCATCTTGGGGGTCCATTTGTGTGCTTATGCTGCCCACTCCTGTATTTCTGGCGTCCACTCCTGTGTTTCCCCTGCCCACTCCTGTATTTCTGGCGTCCACTCCTGTGTTTCTGGCATTCACTCCTGTGTTTTCATCAGGGAACTGTGGTTGGTGTTGTTGCAGCTGATGTTCATTCACTCCTGCGGGCAGGATGCCGGCGTTGTCGGGAGGCTGGTCGTTATCGGGATCATCAGTGTCAGAATCATTGCTGTGAGTAGTATCATTTTCATCAGCGTCATCTACGGAATTGTTGTCGTCGTAGGCGCTGGCATCATCGTCCACAGGTGTTTGTGGAGGTGGCAGGGTGACATCGCTAGCATCACTGTCATAGCTAATGTCATCGTCATCTGTGTGAGTGTGGGTGGCGGACGCATCGGAAGAGCTGTACAAGGAGTCGTGATCGTCGTCCACTTCGTCATCGTCGTCAATAAGCTCCCTTCCGTGTCGGTCTGCAAATGTCAGTGTAGTGGGCATGCCCTGTTGTAGTCCACGGTTGCTGACGGCCTCGATGACATCAGTAGGCATGGGTAGTGGTGTCCAATGTTGCCTTGTGATGCGCTTGCCGGTTGCAACGCTCATGAAATAGTGTGAGCCTTGTGCTGCACCAGTGGGCCCAAGGCATATTGCGCCCAGCGTGCGTGCACGCATATCATTGGAATGTTCCTCATGAGTTTGGACATATGCGCCGAATTCGGTGCGGACATGGAGTTTCATGTTTACATTTCTTCCGGTTACAATGTATTTAGGCGAAAGCGTGTCAGAAACCCCATCCAATGCTGGGAAAGCATTGAGCCAGAACACTGCATTTCGAATCATGTGTTCTAGAATCAGTTTGGGAATTCGTCGAAATGGCAGCATGTTATATGTGCTGCGCACCCTGTCCTTGATAGTGCGGATAAAACGCTCTACTTCCGGCACATGCTCATCTGCACCACAGCAGTCGACCTGGATGTTGGGGAATTGTTGTTTCAGAGGCTCAAACTCTGGGTCCCCAAGAATGCATGTGACTTTGAAGTTGCGTCGGGAGTACAGTTCAAATACTTTGCGCATACTGTCGGTGATGGTCTTGATGCGTCGGTTGGTGAGGCGCTCCACAGTACCGAACTTCAGGTGCCTGGAAATGCTGACCAGGAACGGGACTTTGTTTACAAATAATATGTCAATTGCCAATGTGACCTCTGAATAGAGTTGCTGGATGTGGTCTGGAATTGGTCCCACCTCGGTCCTTACGTGGCTGTCATTGCGGGAAGTGGTTTTTCCTTTCAGCGATCCGAGATTAGGTCCATAAATGTTGTGGGCCACTCTGATGTCTTCCGCTGTCACAGGACAGTCACGGAGCAGATTTTTGTTCACGATATCAGTGAATCGTCGATCTCCTGGTCGGCCGATGATGTTTTGAATGTGTCGAGCCTGCGCCGCTCGCATTACAGCCGCTTTGGTGTGCTTGGCTTTCTGCTCTTTCACAGTTTCCAGGAACGTCCATGACGTCTTGCAGTAGTCATCGAGGTCGATGTGATACAATCCCTTGTCGGTTGGGAGGAATTCGACCTTCTTGGTACCGCCAAAGTCCACCACGAATCGATCTGCCCCCCTGTTGTCATACACAACGTGGTAGTGCTTGTTGACATCATGGAATGATAGGATGTTGGCGATCCCATCGGGGTTGAACCATACTGGATCCGGATAATCCCCAAAATATCCCTTCATGTTCAATTGTACCACCCCTGCATTGCATCGGACCTTCAGTCCATGTTGGACCTTGTGAATGTTTTGTAGTAGTGATCGATTGCAAAAGATGTTTGCTGTAGACCCAGTGTCCAGAACGATCCATGTTACCGGTAGGCCTGATTGCGGGTGGCGCTTGGGAATGAGTTTCACATACGACTTGTTGTTGGAATGGAGGAAGAGGTGCTCAGTGGTGGAAACGTCTTCATCGACTGCTATGGAGTCAGTATTGACTGGGTTGGTTGAATCGCTAGGTTCCTCAGTGGTCAAATACTCGTCAACTTCATCGTTATTGTTATTGTTGGATGTGTCAGTGATGTGAGTTTCGTGTTGTTCGTGGTTTCTATTTGGACGTCGCTCAAAATCTCGCCCGCGACCACCGCGCCCGCTGCTTCCGCGCCCGCCGTTCCGACCGCCGCCGCTTCTTCCGTTGGGACCGCCGCCGCGACCGCCCGTCCCGCTCTCAGTGGATGGCTGGCCGTCGGCAAGGAATGACGCACCGATTTCCGAGCTGCGGATGCTTGAATGATACGAGGCAACAAGTGGCTTGCTGTTGTTGAGCAATTCGATAGCTCCTGACATGGTGGTGGGAAACGTGTCGCTTCCGCTGAACAGTCTTGCATTGTTGGCCTGGGCAATAAGGCCCCCATACCGCTTTCTGTCTGCTCCGAGGAGAAAAGCCATCGCCATCTCCTTCTCCACAACCTTCTCTTCTACCGCTCTCAGTTCAGCCAGTGTTGGGTCCGATTTGCCGGTCTCTTGAATGAGCCTGGATAGGGAGGCTCCCATGGGGCAGTCGCAGAATCTGGCCGTATTGGAAAGCTGCATGAAGACTTGAAGGTACTCTGCATTGGTTTGGTTTTCCTTCTGCTTGCAGGTGTAGGCCTTTCTTTGAGCTTCGACACCCATCATAGTTGGATCAACGTTGGTGGATCCGCCCGTGGCCGCTACGATCTGGAAGACCTTGAGCATGTCCATTGAGCTGTTGTTCGCGATGACCGTGCCCCACTTTGGATGGCTCTCAGCAGCGCTCAGGAATGCTGCGGAGCAGTGGCGTTTCAACATTGCGCAAAGAGCTGCTTCATTTGCCTTGCGCACAGACTTCTCCGCCTCATACTTTTTGTCCTTCTTCAAGTAATCATGTTCTTCCTGTTTGTTGTCCCAATCCGGAAGGTTTGGTGCAACCAAAGGAGGCAGAGAGAATGGGTCTTTGGCGGTTGAAGTTGATTCTCCCACCATCAGGTAATCGGAAGCATCCTTTCGGTTTGACACGAAGTAAGCAATGTGGGCCTTCACGACTTGGAGGAATGGGGGCACTCTTGGATCCACGTTTGGGAGCTCATAGTAATATCCCTTGAGCTCTGGTTCCACAGTTGAAGGGGGCTTGGATTGAGATGCAGCTCCAAACTTGGTGTTGTTCTTTTGCTTGCCTCGCCGATTCCTGTTTCTTGGCCGGATTTGGTCAGACCCGCTGTGGGCAGGGTCTGGGGGCGACTCGCCTTGGCCGTCGCTTTCAGTTGGCATTTTGTTTTCTGAAAACGTTGAGGCAACGCCAGAAATGCCGATCGACAGCACCTATGAAGTGACTGTCCCGTCTAACTAATAGAACAGATAGATCCGCACCGCAGGTGTGCTGTAAATCACTTTAGTCTTTTAGAATTTTCAGAAAACAATGAGGATTGCAAAACACTTTGCAATTGCATTGTATTCTGAACATTCGCTTTCTACTTGTTCTAAAGATTCTCGTTGTCGTAAGCTAATACGTCCACGAGTACCAGTCATACTCCGACCAATACATTCCAACCAATATGCCGTGGGACATGTAATTGTAATAAACGTGATTGGCGTTCGTGACTGGTGAGTCACTAATGGCAAATCAGCTTTGCTCCTACGCCAACAATAAATAATCATCGAAGATAATCGATCGTCATCGCACTTTCATTCATATGCTACAAGTACATGACTACAGAAGAAAATAAGATAGAGATAGTAGTAGTAGAAGAAGAAAGAAGGGATACGCAATAAGCAAGACACAAAATAGAATAACCACCACCATCATAGAAGAATGAGCGATCGAAAAGATGTCATTCAGATTTCCTTGGGACCGACTGCCAACGCCATTGCAGCTCATTCCTTCAATTTACAAGGACTCGCAGCTACCTCGTCTGACAATTTATGCGATCCTCATGTCACACACTATGCCGAGCAACACAAATGGGTACCACGGGCCCTCTTCATTGACGAACCCACACGATTTGCCATTCCACCTTCCATGATGACGGCCGAATCTTTGGCCGCTTCCTTTCAACAACAACAACAACAACAACAAGGAGGGGGTATCCATCATTCGTGGACGGGACAAGTCGAGACAATAGATCAAGGATTATTGCAACACAATCCTTTTCAATTCCCGGAAGTCATGAATGCGGCTTCCATATTGGCCAATTCCGCTCATTCACGGTATTATGCACCCTCCACAGAAACTGTTTCTTCTTCTTCTTACAAGACGAGTGCATCGAATTCAAGACATGTCAACTGGGATGATAATGAAAACGAAGAAGAAGAAGAGGAGGAGGAAGAAGAAGACGAATACGAACGATCTTCTCGTCTAATGCGACAACAGAATCAATGGAAACAAAATACGGAAGCACCACTCCAATCTCAGTTGGACAAGTGGGGCGAATCCGCCATATTGCCGGCTACCACCACCACCACCACCACCACCACAACGAATGAGACAGCGACAGTATCATCTGCACAAACTTCTGCTCAAACTTTTTCTCCCAACATTCGAAACAGCAACTGGATGGACATTCTCATGCCACCCTATTCCCAATCTTCCAAAGTCCCACTACCTTATTCCCAACAATCCCATATGCACCCCCATTGGGATTCGTATCATTCTACCACAGATACCATCCAATCCTGGAAGGAAAATGACTTGGTCGAACGAATTCGGCACATGCTGGAAGCCTCGGATACCGTCCAGGGAGTTTGTTTCACGACGGAAGGATGTGGATTGTATGCCGGACTGACCACACATCTGTTGCAAGAATTCCAAGACGAATGCAAAAGTGCGGCACGACTTGTCGTTCACGTGGTCAATCCCCAAGATGGTGGTGACACTAATGCTACAACTAGTGATGGAAAGGATGGAAACGAACAACAACAACAAGTTGCGACGGCACAAGAAGAATCCTGGCAACCCTTTCATGTCAATCGATTGCGTCATAATTTGTCCCATGGTCTTGCCATGAGTGACTTTGACGAACATGCTCATGCCACACTTCCCTTGCGATTGGATGGTGGTAGCAGCAACAATAGCAATAAGAAATCATTGTTTGAACAAACAGCCCAATTGGCCATGGCCTTGGAATCTGCCACCCTTCCCTTTCGCATGAATCCTTCGTCGTCATCTGCTTCTGCTGCTTCTGCGGAATCGGAACGTTACACCATTGGGTTGCAAAATGCACCCTTTTTTGGACAAGGAGGTGGCGATTCACGTTGGGGAACCACAGCCAAGAGCCTATCCATGTGGGAATATCTTGCCTGTCTGCAACCCCAACGGAATTGTTCCATTCTGGAAATGGATGTATTGGGAACTACTACTACTAGTACTATGAACAAGAATGGTGGTGGTGGTGGTGGTAGCAAGTCATCCTCACGAGGATCAAAGTCATTCAATAGCTCCGAGTTGTGGGAACGATTCCAAGTCGGAACCAGTGTGGAACGGGATCATCGAATGCGAACGAGTGGACGAGATGCCCAGCGAAATCGACCACAAGACGTGGCTCCCGGCAGTTGGCTCAAGGACGTCAAGGATGGAGGTGTGTTGACAAGCGTGTCATTAGAGAATCCCACCAAACGTTCCCTCCATACCCACTTTAGTCTCAATACCATGGTCCGACCCATTCTACCCACCACCAGCGATGCCAGCAACAACCATCAATATCCCTACAGCAGCCCCCTGTCGCAATATTTAACGTGCATTGTGGAAGGCATGGGGATTTCCTATCGGCCGGAACGATCCATGAGTCTCATTTTGGATCAAACCGTGCATCGATTGACCCGTGGCGGATACGGTGCAGGATCCTATTGGAAATCCTTGGTCCATCCCGAAACCCCCGTCGTGGCCGTGCTGGGGAATACCACACGCGTCTATCCCTATCTAAACCAAGTGTCCACCGATATGAAGACGGTGCTGGGACATCGATATCGAGGCTTGTACAATCGAGATTTGATGAATGGGGTATTGCCCGAGTCGGAGGATTCTTCCATGGCGTTGGAACAATGTTACAACCTTGCGGATACCTATCGACCTCCATCTGGGAGTGGACTCGTGGACGATGATGCTGATATTGATTGGTAACAACTATACTATATACCATTAATAGTACTAGTACTAGTAGGCTATAATACTATACTACCTGATACTACGTACTGTAGCTTTAAAATATGTCGACCCGTTCGACTGTCGTCGCCAGGCAGGATGAGGAATTCAGAATTCCGCAATCACGGATATATTTAGAACAGCAGCGTTCGAGGTCGTGTTGTCATTGCAGCACGACTTATATACAATATATGCTGTACCGGTACTGCACGCAATACATACTCAATACTGAAGCGAATCTTGACATTTGAATGATGGACCCCACAACAACAGCTTCAGACAAAAATAGTAATAATAATACGAACGAAGAAGAAGGAGAAACCATGATGGACTGTGACAACGAAGCGGCTCAAAAGCGACAGTTGGAAGAGCTAAACGCAATGAGCGTGAATTCCATGTCCATGATGATACCGCCAACGCCTTCCAACACTTTGAACAATGCCTCCTCCGCTGCGAATGCCATGCTGCTTCAATCGGTGGCTGACGCATTGTCACAAGACAAGACTAAACCCGGGAAACAAGTGGATGCCAAAAAGCAGCCACCGGCGCAATTGAATTCATTGTTTGACCAACCGCTGAAGGAAATAAAAGAATCCACTACTGGCGGCGTGGATGAGAATGACAAGACATCCCAGAAAAAATAGACCAACAAAATACCCAATCAGTAGAGATGATATAATACATGATCCTACTGGTACGATACGAACTATATATCGAAGATTGTACAATAGTAGAGATTTTGATGAATGGTGTATTCATATCAAAGATTTTCAAATAAAAGATTATTACCCATATTGAATATAGATTATCCATGACATGGTAGTATAGGGAAGTTGTTACAGCACTGCGGATTCATACCATATATATTATCAACTACTATTCTATCAGAGTGGGCTTGTTGTCGGTGATGGATAGGATGGACTATAATTAACTTTCAAAGAAACTTCACCTGAGATACAGCCTGAATTTTAGACTTTCTGATACGACTGTTCAAAATTGTTCGACTCCAACGCGTAAATTCTCATGAATTTAGAATTCCAAAGAAAAATATGCACCGAATCGTCTTAGGATAAGGCGCATATATATTATATTTGTTGTTGCAATCGGTCACAATAATACTGTACCGTATAATTCATCATCGCAATTTGAAGTTACTGTATTGTTGGATCGTTGATTCATTCAATCCATTAATAGCTGTCATCATCATTAGTGTTTCCGCTTGCTTTGTCCGTATCAATTGACGATATATATACATACTACCTATATAGATAACAGAGAGTATCAGTGATATGTACAATGACAAGGATCAGAACAAGCGTCAAGAGGAACAAAATGGAGAAAGCAGTAGTGCTTCATCATCATTACAGAATCATCAGCACAATACGGCACCTTCCAATCTAACCAGCCTGTTCGATCCTCCTTCCCCTTCTGCTACTAGGAAAGGGAAAAAGGATGAAGATAACAATGGGACTGCTGCTGGGTCATCACTGCAAAGTATGTTTGCACCGCCGCCGGGAACAACAACAACGGATGTCATTTTCACTTCGGAAGCACTACGAACATCACCGCCCTCATCCTCTACGAAAAGCATCTACTCGGAGCGTACGGATGCCTATGCCAAAACACCACCCGTATCTCATTTGAAACCAACCTTATTTCAGGAACCACCCATCGGTCATCATCATCATCATCATCAGAATGACAAGACACCAGTATCATCCGGATCTCAGTTGAATTCAGTGATTCTACCACCATTGGTATTGCCGGATACGACACCATCATCCCCGACATCACAGCTGAGTTCACTATTTGAGACACCTGTGAAAACGAACAAACCTGTCAAGGTAGAACCCATCGCATCATCAACAACAATATCTCCGTTGAATTCCTTGTTTCAGCCACCATTGCCATCCGCAAAGCAGAAGGGGGGACCAAGAAGAATATTGAACAACGAGACTACAGCTCTATTGTCGGGACGAGACCATGATTCCAATGGGTATTATAAAAGCAACTCGCGGATAGACGAAGGGGAAGAGGAAGATGAAATCACCCAGTCGTCTGCCAGGGATGATGATCCAGCACTACTACTTGCCACTACATCAAAGCGAAAACGAAGAATACCCGATTGCGGACTTGGTCATCCTCCCACCTATGCCGGTGCAGTCATGTTCCTCTTGTATCACGTGGTATTCTGTTTGGCCCAAGGATCTGCCATCATTCGACCACACTCGAGTCGTCCAGTCTTGGGGATCATGGCCAAAATGTCCACCTTGGGCATTCTCGTGTCGGGACCCTTTTACATTCTACGTCTAGGTCTGGACATCCCGGCCTTGTACCCATCCGTGGATTTGTTTCTAGCGCCATTCATGGCCAAGGCGGCGGCCTCCATTGACGAGTCCTTGGCGGGACGATATCCAGATGGTGAGGACTATCCAGAAGAGGCATTCTTTGGATCCTTTTGTGTCCTGGTGGGAATCGGAATGTTCTTGTCGGGTCTATTTTTGCACTTGGGGGCTACGGTTAAATTGGCCAATCTCGGGGCATTCCTACCATACAGTGTCCTTTGTGGCTTCTTTTCGGCAGTCGGTGTACTACTGTGGGCATTGGCCTTTACCGTCGATACGTCGGGCAAGAACTGGAAGCAAGTCTTCTTTTCAGGAGATTCGCAGTTGATTTTGGAATCCTTGATACATCATGCGCCAAGTCTATTCATGGGCATTGTGATGAATATACTTGGACCCAAGAACCCTTTCTTTGTTCTATTGCTTCTCTTTGTGACTTGGGGACTCTTTTATTTGGTAATGTTCCTGACGAATACATCGCTAACGCAAGCTCAAGAAGCGGAATGGTTCTGGTCCAAGGAACAATTAGTGGTAGATCACGATGCGATTCCTTTTCGGGTGCAGCCACTTTGCGGAGTCTTTGCTATATTTAACCTTGATGACGCTACTGTGGATTGGAAGGCTGTTTGGGATGGATTGGATAATATGGTGGCATTGGCATTTCTCTATCTGCTGCGGTCCTCCATTCATGCATCAGCTCTCAAGAAAAATGTCGCCAATCTTGTGCGCCGAGTGCCACAAAAAAAAGAGGAGGTTCGTGGACAAAATCCGCAAGAAGACTCGGAAGCGGAAGACGATGGGAGTGCCATCACTTCGAAGATGCTGCACTCGACGGTTCGAACCGGTACCATGCTCGACAGTGTTCGTCAGACAGTGCAACAGGTGCAATGGAGTCTTGCGGACGATGCAAAGGAAATTCCCAATGCCGTGCTTTCCACTCACGGACCGGTCGAGCTCGATCCCGCAATTTTCGAACGGGAGGACACTGCTACGTACACAGAAGTCAGAGCAAAACCTACAAAGAGGACTCTGGAAGAAATATTCGTTGAATACGGATATGTCTTGTACATTGTCGCATTATTTGGAGGTTTCGGATGCTGCCCAACAATCTCAACAAGCAAAACGATGTATGCGATTCGAGCGGACGGACTTGCACCACAATTGGGATCTATCCTCTTGCTACTTGTGTTCTTTTTGACAGATTTCGATGTGGTTCAGTACATTCCAAAGGCAGCGTTCTCTTCCTTGCTTGTGCTTGGAGGTAAGGACTGTTTTTTTTTTCTTCCCTTTCTTCTTCTTCGTTCTTTTGCTCATGTCTAACTAACCAAAACCATTTCAGCCGTGGATACGCTCGCAGTTTGGTTCTTTGATTCCTTCACAAAAACGTTGGATGTCACTGAATGGCTCGTGGTCCCTAGCATTGTCGCTTTTTCTCTTGTGATTGGATTCTTGAACGCAGTACTGGTTGGAGTCGCAATTTCTACGTTTGTCTTTGTTGGGGCATTTTTCCGTGTTGGCATTGTCAAGTTCCAAGCCACTGGAAAGGAAATTCGTTCCCGGATTGAACGGTCGATGGAACAATGCATCGTGCTGAATGAACATGGTGACGAAATGCAGTTTTTGGTGCTTCAGAACTACCTTTTCTTTGGGAACGCAGCAAAGCTTTGCCACTACATCTTTACCATGTTTGAAGACGTGGAAATGGAGCTGGAAGAGAGTAATACTGACATTACAGTACCTCCGATTCCGAAGGTTCTCTTGCTCGACTTTTCTCTGACTACTGGTCTCGATACATCCACCGTCGACATTTTCAATGACATCAAGGAGAAGTGTGAGGAAAACGATTGCAAACTATTTCTGTGCGGATTGACCACACGAATGCGGAAGGCTTTGGCGCTGGGTGGCATCAAACCGCAGGCACATCTTTCTCGCAAGATGCAGACCGTCCGTCTTTTCCCAGATATGGATACAGGTCTGGGAAAGGCAGAAGACTTTCTCATATCACTGAACGCTCCCACGGTTCGTCCTGGTAGAACTTCGCCTGAAATTAGTAGCGGCTTGTCTACGAAAGGATTTCAGACCTGTCTGGAGAAGATTGACGAACTTCACTGCCAGAACTTTGCCGAATCCTTGGTGAATTTGGAACCTTTTGTGGAGCCTTTGGAATTGTCACCTGGTGCTGTTCTATTTGAATCGGATGGTGGCGTCATTCGAGACGAAGAGCGTGGTCTCTTCTTTATTGAGGTTGGCACACTGAAGATATCCCGGGATTCTTCAATGTCCTTGACTCTCAATCGAACTCGAAGCTATGGGCACCTTGGCAGTGTTGGAGCTGGCAGTGGATCTACTGGAACTATTTCCAAACGCCATGCGCGACTGCAATCACTAGCCCGCTCGATAGGAAAATCCAGGCTCAATGCGGATGGCACATCTTCTGAAAACTTTCGACTGGCTCGGATTGGACCTGGATGGGTGATTGGAACCTTGGAGAATGCCTCTGGAACCCAATCTCCTGGTATCTTCACTGCAATGACTCGATGTCGCCTTTATCATCTCCCATTTACGACACTGCAAGAAATTGAGAAAACAAACCCACTGCTAGTATTACAACTCTACAAGATGTTGTCTCATCTCATGGCGAAGAAGGAGGAAATCACATCGGAGCATCTCTCTACACTACATACTATCATGAGCTCGCATGCGAATCCCAAGCATTTGAGCTCTCGAATGAGTTCATCGTCGTTATCTCGGGGGCCTGGATGAATGTTCTTGTACTGGTAACGGTAGCTGATGTAAAATGAAAGAAGTTGAACATTGCGCGACCCTGAATTTCAAATTAGTCGTGGTTAGTAGTGTTCAATACCGGGTTTCGCGAAATCACTCGGAATTTCGTGGATCAAATCTCCCGTGCAGGAACGATCAGGATGTTCCCAGCAAAAACTTGCGCGACCCTCCATCTTGCTTTCACAAAACTATTTGACATCCACTTTCAAATCATCCAAACAATATCCAACCAATATCCAAAAATGTTCTTTGGCAATGCAGAAGACAGCAACATGCTCAAGTTGCAAAAGGCAGAAGCGAAACTGATTGAACACGCCAAAAATTTTGGCGACCGAGATCCGAGCTCCTTCCGCATCACAACCCAAGATACCAGCATCCCATCCGTGGTTCTTCCTTTGAAAGAAAAAGCCTCGAAATCTCTGAAACAGGATCTCTTTATGCACAGTGTACGTGTTACCGGAACCGAGCCGGATCCAAGCAAGCATGATACCCCACTGGTGATTCTACATGGCTACATGAACGGTGCCCTATATTTCTACCGCAACCTTGTGGGTCTGAGCAATCACTTTGATACCGTTTACTCGGTGGATACCTTGGGCTGTGGGTTGTCATCACGCGGCCCATCAGGACTATTATCATCCTTAGCATCCAAAGATGATGCTAGTTCCCTGGAAGATACCACGGAAGAATTCTTTGTGGAAGCCTTGGAAGCTTGGCGAAAGGCCAATGGAATATCGAAAATGGTATTGGCTGGACATTCCATGGGAGGTTACATTAGCGTTGCCTATTGTGAAAAGTACCCTAAGCGTGTGGAACAACTAATTCTCCTGAGTCCTGCTGGAGTCACCAAGGACGATGAAGAAGAAATTGGTGACATGTTTGGTCAAATGTCTTGGACCCAACGTGCAGCATTTAGTGGGGTGAGATATCTCTACAATTCTGGAGTGACACCCGCCAGCTTTTCGCGCAAACTCCCCACTTCCAAAAGTAGATCCATGGTGGCTTCGTATGTCGAAAAACGACTCGCAGTGGTCAAGGACCCCGAGGAACAACAAGCCGTGGCGGAATACTTGCATTTGATGGCCATGATTCCTGGATTTGGAGAAGACATGTTGAACCGATTCTTGACCTCTACTGCTAATGGTGTCAAGCCCACTGTCGACAGAATTCCTTTGTTGCAAGTGAACAAAGTGAGTTTTCTGTATGGCGATCGCGACTGGATGGACATTCAAGGTGGAATCGATGCCTACGAACAAGCTCGGCGGAGTAGTAGTAGCGGTCCACAGATCCTAGTTTATCAACTCCAAGAAGCAGGTCATTTGCTCATGTTGGATAATTGGAAGGGCTTCCACGCGGGTGTTGTGGCCATGGTGAGTGGAAGGCAAGCCGTATCATCTTCCAAGTATCCAATGCCAGAGTTGGTTCGAGGCGGACCACGACGGAGGAAGAATAACAACTTTGCCCCCAGGGTTGGTCGAAAGCTTCAGCAATCACGATAATTATTGTACTATCTACTATAAATTGTAAATCTAATTTGTGAACAACGCACAACACTCCATGGTACAAGGTGTTATTGCTTATCTTGAAGCCGGTTCTCTTTGACTCCTTTGACTTCACACTCTGATTCATTCCTATGCGACCAAAATGTAGTCCACCTTTTATTTCCCCGAAATCCTACAGTACGTGTACATATAAAATATAGCATCTGCATCACGTGGAGTATCATTTTTTGTATGACGTCCAACGCACCGATTTCACATCTCATACACGTCATAGATTCGCAACCTTCTCACAAAACCAAATTACACAAGATCAAATATTGGTACAAACATCTTTGCTTCGTTCTCACATTTTTCGTTTGCTGCCAACGAGAAAGCATCATCATCCAATTTTTCAGTTTGTATAATGGAGATTGAAGCTGTCTACTCACCCACGACCAATGTCGCTTCCACAACCATTGTGGAAGCGTCCATGGAAGGAGACAAGAATTCGCGCTTTCCTTGCATCGAACAACCCACACGAGTTGCCTTGCACTGCAACGGTTACTACATTTGGAGCAAGAAGAGTGGTAAGGCAGTCTGCAAGAAGAAACGCAACGAAAAGGACGAATTCTTGCTCATTTATGATGAAAATGAAAACGTTACCATTCAACATCACAAATACAAGGGTATCTTGACTTTGGTGCGCACCGTTCTTCCCGATGGTACAGTCGAAAAGAAGATACGATGTCTTCAGAATGAAGAAGACAAGCAAGAAGAGGTGGAAAGCAATGAAGTTGCAGAAGAAAAGAAGGAAGAACCTGAAGATTCCACTCCTACTGTCGCCCCGGCATCTGATGGGGAGGACGACGAAGACGACGACGAGGATGATGCTGTAGTTGTCGATCCCACTACCATTCAAGAAGGTGACCAAAAGTGGGTATTCATCAAGGGTGCTTCCAACTCCATCAATGGAAACGCTGTCATTCTGAAGTCGTTGTCTACTGGATTGATTCTTGGAATCAGCGAGGAAGGCAAACTGGAACTGTCCGAGCCACAAGAAGCGGAAAGGACAAGTAAGATGCAGTGGTCCATTGAATGCGTCACTGGAGAACTCTGCTTTTTGTCCAATCCTCGTTTGAACGCGCAACTCCGCTGCGATATGACTGGTTTGATCAACATGGATGGAAACCAAAAAGGTTGGGAAGTCTTTCGGTTCATGGAGGCTGGAAATGGTTACGTCAAGATTTCCAGTTGGATGCACAGTCAATGGTTGCTATGTTCGACCAAAGACGGCAAGGTATCCACTTGCACTCATGCCGAATCCTTTCAAGATTACCGACCCCCCGACGAGAATGAGAATGATGCTGATGGCCAAGAAGAGAAACAGGAGGCATCATCGTCATCATCCTTGAAGGAATATCGATGCAGCAAATGGGCCATCGAGAGGAGCCCAAATGGTGATGGTGTCGTTATTCGTTCCAAGACGCATGGAAGATTCTTGTGTGTCAAGGATAACTTTGAATTGAGAACCTATCATCCAGATGACGACGAAGCCAAGGAGACAAACAATACGGACGAGTCATCGGACGAAGAGGAAATGAAGATTACTCCAGAGGACTCATCCTCAACCAATAAGAAGAGCGAAAAGTCTTCTTTCAAAGACTCCATGAAGACCTTGCAAGATTCCATGAAAACTTCCATGCGCAAAGGTATCGACGATGCCCGAAAGTCAATGGCCGCCAAGGGACCACGAGTAGCAGAAGTTGAAACGACAGTCTGGCACTTGGAGGCTGCTCACTCGCAAACCTACTTTTTTCTATCGCTCAATATGCAAGATCTACAAGCCAAGGCCAAATCGATTGGCCCCAAGTTGCAAGTGACCTCGAACCTTCGCAAGAATACCAAGATTACATTGGTTCGAGAAGACAACAACATTACCAAATTGTGTGTGGAATCATCTGATACCAAGGCCAAACAACAATTTTTGGCCTGTCAAGAAGATGGCACCATTGCCTTGGTGAATAATGGAGGACGCGCCGACGCGGAATGGATCATTGGAAAGTCGACGCTCCAAGAAGGCTTTACCACCTTTTACAATCCGGCTCATGGATTGTATCTTTCCAGCATGGGCCAAGATGCCGCCACGACCAAGGCGCCATCCAAAACCGACAAGCTCAATAGCTTGTTGCGCAAGGACAAGGAAGTCGTTGAGGTCTTGCAGGGTTCCGAAACCTTGTGCATTTCGGCCACTTGGAGATTGGATCCTGTCATGCCACGTGCGGTGAGCTCGGAAAAGGTGAAGGCATTTGCCATTGGCACTGGTATTGCGGTCGGCACGACGGTCGCCATGCCCTTTGCCTTGGCCGGTGTGGCAGGTATCATGGGAGCCATTGGTGCCGAAGTGGGGACCTTTACCACCTTGATTTTTGCTGGATTGACGGGCGCTGAAGCCATTGCCAGCGTTGGGGCTATTGGGGCAACGGCGTATATTATTTTCAAACCAGATGAGAACTCCTTGACGGATGGTCACAACAAGGAAGAAGAGGAAAAAGCAAAGGCCTGGTCCCAACGTCCATTCAGCAATTGGCGCAATTGGTAATACTGCATGCATATGGTCGTCACACAAACACACACGCACAAGTGGTGTTTATGGGGAGAGCCACGAACAAAGAGTAGAATATATGAGTGTCTAGAAAATATTATCATATTGAAACATTGTCATCATCACTGTGTTGGAGCTATTATTATGTGGGCTTAATCGTACCTTGAACTACAAGCACTGTACCGTACTGGTACAAGTATAACGCCACCAATTTTGCGTGTGTATACTGAATACTTTGGTAGATCGATCGTACCAAATCAATCATGGATACTACTATACTGTCATCCTGTATTTGGCCTCTTCGACTGCAGTACACGGACCTGCGGAGGAATAGAGAAACCTAAATGTGACAACCTTCGCCATTTCAAATTGAAAATATGGGATATCATTCGCGTCCCTTATTTATAATACCGGGTATATTCAGATCAGCTGCGTTATGCGATTTATTATATCTGATATGATTCTTGATTCGGTTTCATTCGGCACTTTTCGGACTTCCAGAGATTTCACAAGAGCCTCATCTGGTGATCAGAACATCAAGATACCTCGTATTTGCATTGAGCCAACGAGTTGGAATTCCAGAGACTTCATCCGAGCCCCAGGTGATCGGAACACCAACAAAGATAGCCATACATCCTTTGCAGTTTGCCTCTTCTTGACCACACAAATCTAAATATTGGAAGAAGAGATTGCTTGTCAGTAATCATTTTCATATCAACTATATATCCACAGCACAACAGCAGAGCAAGTAAACAGAATAATGGACACTCCTACCTATGATGATGCCCACGATGTTCCCGCAGAATCCGAGCCCCAGGTATCCACGGATTCTTCCTCTCCAGAAATGCCAAAGCCCTCCCGCTTGGATGATCCTTTCAAACCTCGAGTAGGTCGGCATTTGGTGTGGAAGGATGTCCAAATGACTCTTAAAAAGAAGAAGGGTGACGAGCCACAGAAGGTCATTCTCAATAATGTTTGGGGTGAAGTGCCGAAAGGCCAAGTCACAGCCATCATGGGTCCATCTGGAAGTGGGTAAGTTTACATATCTGTTCAAATGAATACATCAGGTGGAACGTTCCTTATTTTATTTCGATTCTAACTCGTATCATATGGTGTATTTTCCAACTTCAGAAAAACAAGCTTATTGAATGTGTTGGCTGGTCGGGCTTCCAGTAATGCTCAAATATCCATCACCAGCGATGTCCGTCTCAGTAATTATCAAGTAGATCCAACCTCAATTGCTGTGCGCAAACGAATTGCCTTTGTGGCCCAAGACGATTCCTTGCAGACGACCGCCACTCCAAGAGAAGCCATTCGGTTTTCGGCCAAGTTGCGCAATCCTCGCAATACCACAGACGAAGATGTTGAAACATTGACCAATCACATGTTGACGGCACTCGGCCTGGATCAATGTGCCAATGTCTTGGTGGGAGGTGCCTTGCTCAAGGGAATCTCAGGAGGTGAACGCAAGCGAACTTCGGTCGGTGTGGAATTGGTGACCAGTCCTACTTTGGTCTTTTTGGACGAGCCAACCTCAGGACTGGATAGTTTCAATGCGGTCCAACTTTGTGAACTCTTGAAAAAGGTCGCAGAAGCTGGATCCAGTGTTCTATTTACGATTCACCAACCCTCCTCTGAAATCTTCAACTCCTTTGATCGATTGATCTTGCTCAATCAGGGTCGAGTCATGTTTCAAGGCCCTGTGGCGGAAGTCAACACCTTTTTTGAAGCACGAGGCCATCCCTGTCCACCCAACTACAACCCCGCCGATTGGATCATGCGGGTGGCTGTGACAAATTCTGTGGAAGAGCTCGAACAAAGTGGCTATTTCCCAAAGGACCATCGCAAGCATGGGCTACCACAGAGTGGATCCGTCAAGGAGGCACTAGGACTGAGTGACAATCCCCATGAAAAGTCCAATGGCCATAAGCCTCCTGGTATTCTTGCGCAAAGCAAACTCTTGCTCGCCCGAGAACTGAAGAATCTGGTTCGAGCCACGCATGCTCTCAAGACTCGGATAGTAATGACCGTGATGATCAGTTTGTTTACCGGGTTCCTCTTTTTTGGGGTTGCTGATTTGCCATCTGACAAATTCATCAATCTTCAGTCGACATTTGGAGCTCTTCTCATGTCGCTCATGGCCAATGTGTTCTCGACGGCATTGCCCAGTTTGGTGGCCTTTCCCGAAGAACGACCAGTCTTTTTGCGAGAGTACTCCACCAATCACTACTCGGTATTGTCGTACTTTTTATCACGACTCTTTATGGAACTCTTGGTGACTGCCCTACAAGTCACTGTCAGTACGATGATTACATACTTCATGGTTGGCTTCAATGCAGATTATGTCATCTTTTGGACAGGAATCTATCTCATGGCATGTGCTTCTACAGCATTGGGTGTTCTGATTGGATCGTCCGTGAAGAATGCATCCGTGGCCATTGAATATCTTCCAGCCGTCTTTATGCCACAAATCTTGTTCAGTGGATTCTTTATTCCGCCCGAGCTAATGCCAGACTGGCTTTCATGGTTGACCTATATCATGCCACTGAGTTATGGAGTTCGCCTCGTGGCGGGATCCGAGTTTGATGGAAGTTGCCAAGACATGATCTCTCCAGCAACCAACACAACCATGAACAATTGCGACATGATTCTTGAAAACATCAATTCGAATGTGGATGACTTTTGGTGGTATTATTTGGTGCTCCTGTGTCTCTTTGTTTTCTTTCGCCTATTGGCGCTCTTTGTGCTCGAACGAAAGGCAAAGAACTTCTATTGATAAATTCATTCTCTCTATAAAATAATATTTATCTATATTTACAATAGTGCTGCTGTAGAGCATAAAAGTTTGAATGCATACTGGTATGAATACTCCAGCCATCAGGCACAGAAAGAGCCAGGAACGAACATCACTCGTACTCTTTTCTAGTACATTTGGGCACTTCGGCTACCTCGTTCGTGATCATATCCACTGCGATTGGAGTGGTTCTCTTCCAATGCTTCTTCTTCGGCACTCATGCTGTCATCATCTTCAATTTCAATCATATCCAACAGATTCAGGAAAAAGTTGAATCCAGAGGTCGTCCAGGTAAAGACCAAGTAAGGATCCAAATTTCCTCGTTCACTTCGGACCAACGCTCCAATGATGAATTGTGGAATATCTTCCACTAGCATTTGTAATCCTAGCACCATCTTGAGAATGCGGCCAAAGGGAGCATACTTGGCGGTCCGACTGCGTTTGCGACGAGATTTAGCATGGGCTCGGGCACTAACCAGAAAGCTCAGAAGCAATGCCAGAAGCATACCGCTGCTGATACAAGCGAAAATGAAAAGATTGAAGCCATACTTTTCATCCAGCGTAGCATTACTTTTGACATTCAAATAGAAAACCCAGTCCTATGCATCATGGAATTGAATCAACAAGAAAACCAAGAAACATCAGAAAAATATGAAATGACGATGACACCATCACAATAAGACTGACGTACACTGGTAACATCCGCAATTGATGCAAGGATGGACTTTGTTTGACGAATACCATTTCGACGATAGCGCTGCCATAGAGAAAGAGAAACCATCGTTGGGATCTGCATGATGATATATATATAGGTACGGTCTATCTGCGTGTTAGTGTGGCGTTATTGCGATCCTAAAATGTTCCAAAAATTATCAAGAGATTTTTCAAATTTGATTTTTAGTCACGCGAGTCAGACAGACAATCCACACAGTTCAACGGTCAACCGGTTATACCATTTCGACTAGCACGACCATTCTGATGACGTACGACCAACGGACAGCCATTGAATTTTCCAATTACCACGACATCATTCCATTTCCTTCCAAATCAGTAAACGCATTCCGAAAGACTTGCATAAGTTGTTGGCAAGAGATACCGCGCCAAAGTATTCCTATATCAGTTTACCTAGAACCTTCACGAACAGTACTAAAGGATCAAACATGACGACAAAAGACAAAGCTGCTGACCCTCGACATGACGAGTTGATGACCAAAATGGAAGAAACCCGCAAAAAGTGGCTTGCCGAAGAGGAGGAAGAAGGACAAGATGATACGGACCGGCTTTTGCAAGAGGCTATCAATATGGCTGTCTCACAGGGTCGTGGTTGGGCACCTGGTGAGAAGGAAGAATACATGGCCAAGATTCTGGACGATGATTTCATTCCTCCCATTTTTGCGGAAAACCAAGAAGAATTGGAAGCTAGTGGGTTGGCAGAAGCATTTTCGTCTCTGCATTATGATGATTCACCGTCTGTTGTGGCATTAGAATTCAAAAAGAAGGGGACCGATTCCTTCTTGAATGGAAAGCGGAACGAGGCCAAGAATGTTCAATACTTTCGAGATGCTGTCAATCATTATTATGATGCTTTTGCTTGGGCACAAAAGATTGAGCCATTGGAACATAGACAACAAAATCAAAAGACGGAAACAAAGCCAGATGAAACTAAGATGGACAAAAAAGAGAAAGAACCCACTCACGATGATGCACCCGAGTACACAGAAAAGGAGTTGGACGAATTCAAGTCGACTATCATGGGCAATGCTGCCCTGGCCCATATGAACTTGAAAAACTGGGGACACGTGCGAGATGACAGCAAAAAGGTATGTGACAAAAGTATGGATTGCTTTAGAGAATATATTTCTTCGATTGTGAACTTGTGTCCAAGGTCGATTGCATGCATTCACTTACACATGCTGTGCCCCTCATTAGGCCCTTGATTTCAACAAGGAAAATGTCAAGGCGTGGTACCGTCTAGCAAAGGCATACCAAATGCTCCAATGTTGGGAAGAAGCTGGTGATGCCATTGATAGTGGACTTGGTGTACCGAATGAAGCCCAAAACAAGGACTTGCTGAAACTCCAAAAGCTACTTGCCGAGAAGATCCGCAAGGCCCGTGTCGCTCGTCAAAAGAGAGAAAAGCGACGAGCCGAGCGAGTGTCCAAAGTCAAGAAACTATGGAAACATTGCAAAGAACAAAGCTTTCAGCTGGGACGTGTACCACTAGTGGGGTCGGTCGGTGACGACGACGAGGATGCAGACGATGTGGCGGAATCTAGATGGCATCACCATCATCCGCATACAGGACAATTGCCAGAGCCAGTGAGCGGAGCCAGCGACTGGGTTTGGCCATGCCTCTTTTTGTATCCGTCACATTCGCAATCAGATTTTGTCAAACAATTTGCCGAGTCGGAAATGTTGGCCATGAGGTAAGTGATACCGTTTTCGTCTTGTACTTTGCAGAGGCATCGAACAATTTGCTGAGTTCTGTTCTTGTCTTGTGTTATCAGATTGGCCGAAATATTCCCAGTCGTGGATGGTGAATCCAACGAGAACAGCATACCTTGGGATTACGACAATGAATTTCAATGCGACAAATTGGCCATCTATTTTGAAATCAATTGTCCAAGCGAAGAGAGCATTGAAAAGACAAAGAGCGGAAAGCCTATTGTTCACCCAGAGAGTGTGGAACGACTGGTCGACCAAGGATCCACTATGCGCTTTTACGAATCCTCTCGTGCACTCAAAGGAGACGAGGGTCCCGAAATGGCCAATTTGGTTACAGCTGTTGAACGAAAGCGTCTGTATCAGCAACGAAAGATATGGAAGAAAAAGCATGGAAGCTTGTGGCATTTGCCAGATCCTTTGGACGTTGTCCGTGTGCACCCAGCCATGACGCTGAAGGGGATTCTATCGGATCCGCGAATGGTTGTAGCCAATGTAAGTTGTTACTGGAGACGTTGATGAACCTCCTACTGATGTCGAAACTCATTCAAGCTCTGCTGCTTTCGTCTTCCTTTCCGGCACTTGCAGTTCCTGGTGACGCTTGTTGTTATTCCAGAAAATCATCCAGTGCATGAAGCGTACCTGAAGGAACACAAGTGCGTCGGTGTGCTGCAACCTGACGAAATTGCGTAGGACGAAGGCGTCAGCTGCCATCTTGTCGAGTGGGCATGCGACTGCATGGCCCTCTCTTGTTATTAGAATGAGACCTAAGGTACTAATGCACAAGTTTCAGCCACCTTGCTCGTCTTGGGACCATTTCTTGCGATTTTCTCCTAGTTAACTTTACCGGTATACCGTATTATCATTTTCAATGTACAGCACCATTCATCATGTTCGACGCAATGAGAATCGCCCGCTAGCTACACTGGTGACGAGAAGTTCGGGAACGAGGGAGCATTTGAGGGAACAAGGGACGTTTCGTCCAGCATTCAACCGTTTTTTCCCTTGTTTTCTCCCTTATTCCCTTTTTGCCTTTAAAACTCCCTTTTTGCCTTGAAAACTCCCTTTCTCCCTCGCTTCGAACCTCATTCCCTTGATTCTTCGCTTTTTGATCGACGTATTTTCCGCGAAAGTGATGCACATGAATAAATTGACATCGTGAAGAGGTCTTGCGAGCTCCGAATGTCTCCACCGATATCCATTGCGCAGACGTATTTATTTGATGTCTCCGTTTGAAAAGTGGAAATGGTAAGCTTGAGGCCAATGAACTCATCATCCACTGCTAGAAATTCCCTCGAACCCCTGACATTGTCTATATTATAGTCATATATATTTTGTGTATACGAAGCGACATGGAGGAATTTGCCCTATTTGCCTCTGAAATCACTGCTGAAGTACCTCCAAAAGGTCTGAAAACTACTTTTGGAGAGGTTTCGGGACGTCTACGAAGTCCCAAGGCAACATAGAGCTCGAATTTTCTGCGGAAGTTACTTCTCTTGTTATACGAAAGGCAATGATACCATTTTATGTGTTTTTATATGGGTTTCTACAGGACGATTTTCAACGGAGACCATTGAGTTGCAAATTCGTCGGTGACAATGAAATTGCACGGTCTGGACCCCATGAGCGGAGAAAGTGGAATTAGAGGTTGTGGCAAGCATAATTGATACCTGCGTTACGTCGGGAGTGGCGGTATTTATGTTGAATAATGTTTGCTGGGCCGCAATCACACAATAATCCACCATGATTGGTTCTGTTTGTTGCTTAGACTGGACGGATAGGTGTCAAGAAGACGTATTTGACGAATGCGACTCATATCTACCGTCACCATCAAGACCAAGATCTACGCAAATGTATATTTTTGGGATCTCAACTACCAAAATTGACGATTTGGAGCACATCAAGGTGCCATGGTGCGATTGTTCCCCACGTTTGGACAAGCCAGTGTGAACGCCCAGAGAAGTAAAAACCTCCGAACATGCTGTGGCAAGCGTAATTGATAGATAGACTATGGCTGGAGTGGCGATTCATACTTCCAATCGCCTCAATTACACTACAATCTACCCTGTTTCGTTCGACTGGTTCTGTCAGGTTGCAAAAACTGGTCGGCAGAAAGTCAAGAGGGCCAATGCCTCACATTCAACATGTGTTGGAAAGCTCGGCAGTGATCCTACCTACTCGGAGATCCAATCGGATGTGTTTTGTTTGGGTTACTTGCTGAGATATTGGAATTCCAGTGTTTGGTGCTGTCTGTTCCCCTTTCAGCATGAGGGTCGGTGTGGCCGCCCTGGAGACAGCCAACTATTCAACAATACACCAGAGCCTCCCTTGGATGCCTAATACTCAAATTTTCTGGGACCCAGGCAGTGGTTCCGCCTAGATTAAGAATCATGCCGCCCAAATGGGGTCAGAAATCATGGAAATCTTGTCCAAAAAGCCACTTAGTGGTGGTGTGGGCCGAATTTCCTAAAAATGACTTGTTCTAACACATATTTGTCGTCCATGGGTATGTATGAGAAGATCGGTGGCTTTGGAGTGGACGCTTTTTAGGTAAAAATGATTGAATAGCACTCACACTGCATTGAGGATCAATCCAGGTTCATTAAAGAGAGTGGCTGGAATCCTTCCCAGTAGCCGAGTCGATACCCTGACACGATGGCACCAAGTTCAAAGTTGTCAAAATACATATAGTAATCGAATTTGGGCGGTGGTTTGGAGGGCTCTGGCAAAAAAAAAAGATTCTAGGCCAGCATAATTTTTTCTTCCTTTCCTACTCCTCAATTGACTTTGTGGAATTCCTTAATATTATCGATTCTACTGAAAGAACTTTGATTCAGAGTATGCACAGATCTATTAAAGATACATAATAAAAATATCGCCCGGAAATTTATCACAAATTGTAATGGGAACAAGGTCATATGGTGCAAGAGACGAGGCCTGTTACCTCTTAGTTTCTTCCACAGGAATACAATCTAATCAAATCACAGGAGTCAATTTTTAAATCCGACTCAATCGAATGTTAACGGTTCGATTTGAAATGTATGTGCATGGGCTATGATATGGGCAGGCTTGCGTGCAATCGTACTGCAAAAATGGGTACGTACAAATGTACGTAGGCACCAGGTACCTGGTACCAGTAGTCCTTCATCACATCTTGAAAACACTTTTATTATTTGAGTTTGGGTTGTCTTCGATGTTTGACGCTTGAAGGATCAGACCAGGACGATGTCTGGGACATGAGACGGTAAGTCAAGGATGCTTGTGGTGACTTAAATCCTGGATTGCACTAACCGCAATCATTTCACATTACTGCACAGGTACAATATAGGATGCCAGTTATTTTTAGATTTGTTTCGAGCTGTCGTCATTGGCCAGAGAAATAGAGTGAAATCCAAGTGACCAGCTGTCACACCAGACTGGAGTCAAAAAGTGTGATTGCACACGAAGAGCTTCAGACCTGTGATCAAAGAAGACTACGTGTGATCAAACAAGACTATGTGATTGTGATTGATGAACACAAGCGCAACTGAACACTTTACTGGCGGCGCAAGCATGAATGGAAACCAGGCATTCAAGGCGAAACATACACACAGTGTGATGATCTGCTGTTGAACTGAAATGAGATGTGTACTACTAGTAACAGCGAATGTAAATTAATTTTCCTTTATCATTGTTGTAATATTGCACGCACTACATAGCAAAAGGTTTGAATTCAAATGGAACCGTAGAAATAGGATGGCCAGTGCTTCTTAGTTGCGGACTATATGAGAACCGTTAAACTGGAAGGTGGTTAACAAGGGAGGACGGGAACATGGTGGTAAACGAGGGAACGAGGGATTGCTAAAATGAATATGAGATGAGGGAACGAGGGAGTGTTCGAGGGAGGGCTCCCTTGTTTGCGCCAGGGCTCCCTTGTTTGCGCCAGGATTGGTACCGATTACCCTCGTTTATCCACTCGTTCCCTCGTTTTCGACCTTTTTCGCGCAGATTGTGCGCATCGTTTGGTTTCGTTTCGTAAAAAGGGAGCGAGGGTGCGCCTTGTTTCTTCCCTTGTTTCCGCCCTCGCTCCCGAACTTCTCGTCACCAGTGTAGGAGCGCGTGACATTATTTTATATTAAAAACCGAGACATCTTCCTGTATGTTTTTTTTAGAACAGAACCGTGTACGGTGCGTGGTGAAATGATGATGAGAACCAGCAAAATTCTGTTCGGGTAGCGCGTTCAAACAATTTGAGAAAAACGATAGCTGAAAATACAAGCTTGAACAATACTTTGTAGTAGAAGCGCTTTCGAAAAGCTTTTTTATGTATTACATAGTGAAATACCGTCACCATGAAACATATATGAATTGAAAGATGATTTTCCGGTGAAGTTTGAATATCTAATGAAACTGTGAGGTACGCTTGTACCGCAAGAAGACACAACTCACAAAATTCGGATTAGTGTCATCATGATCTGGTATTCCTTAAGTAATGGCTTCTCGCGTTCCCGGCAGCTGTTAAGTTGATTTTCAGCCTATCCTTCCCAAGCTCGATTTGTGTTCGCACCACCTCAACCGCGGAGTTCTCACAGGATCGCGTGCTTCTTGAGTGTATTCCCACTCAATCCCATCATGCATTACCGCTGTCAGTGTTTCTGTTTTTCTCACAATTTTCCCAAGCCTGAAGAAAACACCATGAACTCCAGCACTGACACAAACTGCAATGCGACAGCTGAACGGCTATCGTACAATAGCTCGATGACCCTTCGATTGGTAGCTCCAATTTTCCTTCACAATGCTCTTGACAACGATCCTTCGCCCGCATGCCCGTCCTCAGAGCAGAAATATCGCCTATCTGCCATCCTTGACGAAGCTATTGACATTGTGAGCAGTGACGATTTTCTTTTCGAAACGAGCCAATATCCCGAGTTGTCCCAATGAACATGCCTAGTAAAAATAAGAATAGAAGATACTAGTACCTAATCTAGTGAAATGATTCCTTTCCCATCGCTATTGCTCTACTGATTCGTTCTACCCCTGACATCTAGCTCACCATGCGGACATGGTTCTCTTTGACTATGTATTTTTCTCAAACGATCAATTCTAGTCGATCTAGGTTGTGGAAAAGGAGCCTGCAGTGTCTGTGTTATATTCTCCATCGAGAAGTTTGTGGACTGCTGGTGGGGTTGTCTTGCCGATTGATGATGATTCAACTAGTAAAAGACGGGATTGTATGGCCTGGTGAATTCTGTCGCTGACGGATTCTTGTTCCAGTTTGCCACGAGTGAGTGAGTGATCCATTGATGCCAAAAACGAATAAAACTGAAAAGCGGAAGAATGGAGGAATGGAAGAATGGAAGCCCATCCTTAGTAGAAATGGCAAATAAGATGGTATCATTCATTCTTTGAGTCTATAACGGCATAGTCGCGTCAAAGTGAGCACAAAGTGGTACCAGTACCGAATCGTGCTTCTAACAAAATTCGATGTTTCGGAATCGAACCACTTCGCCTGCAAGGCTAATTATTATACCCGTTCCAACAGTTACAATATTTTTATATATGTGTGTTTCGTGTTCCCTCCGCAAAACTTCTCCCATGTCCCCAAAACTCAAGTCAGTGCACATGCAATCAAAGATTCTACTCACAATTTCTTTCCCATTCAAAATAAAACCCCAACATTGGAAGTCATGAACCCAAGCACTTCCAGAGACTGTAATACTTCGCACAATGCTACAATTGGGCTGCTATCTACTGCTATGAGCGTAAAAACCCGGCGACTGGCGGGATCTTCAATTTTCTTTCGCAATGATCTAGACAGTGATGCTTTCGAGCAAAAGATCCGCCTATCTGCCATTCTTGACGAAGCTCTTGAACTTGTGAGCACTGAAGACTTTCTTTTCGATACAAGCGAGCACCCTAAGTTGTGATCAAACGAGACATACGGATAATATAAGATAATGACTAAATTAATGAAATGATGCCTTTCCTACCACTATTCTTGCTCCACAGCCATCCTACCTGTGGCAAAAAATCCATCAGGATGGACTGTGGTTCTCTTGCAAGATTCATTTCTCTCAAACCAGCACATACAGTTTATTTTAGTTGTATGTTATTGGTGGAAACGTCAGCATCCAAGTTTCCATTCTCCATCAAGTAATACCGTCAGCATCCTGATCACAATCCAGAAAAGCGCCACTTGACGAGATCCATTAACAATGTCAACAAGCTTTCGAGCCTTCGCAACCGTGATCACGACCAACACAGTACCTTTTACAGAGGATATTTTTTTATATGAATATCTTTTTCTTCTGGTCGGTATCTTTCATCTTTGAGCCCTTTCCAAATTCTACTTATTTTTGTCCGTGTTCGGAACGAACTACCTGAGCCTCCTGGTTCTCTTGTGCTTTTCGCCTTCTCTCGTACTGTAATTAATAAATGCGCGTCGCAAACAATATATTCTGGTTGAATTTCGCGGCTTCCACAAAGTATTTTGTTATTGATTTCTCTTCTTGGGATGTGTTTCCCGCTCCCTTCAAGAGGGTCTCTTCTCTCTTCCCTCCGCCAGTACTCTCTACGACCAGGAGTCAGTCCATGCGGATTTTGACATTTTTTGCAACCAGCTGTCAGTGTACCGGTATCGGCTTTAGGTTTCCTCTCACAATTTCTTTCCCAAGCACAACAAAGAAAGCCCAACATAAGAAAGTATCATGAGCTCAAACACTTCCAGAGGCTGCAATACTACTGACAATGCATCAATTGGACTACCATCTACCATGAGCTCAACAAACCTTCGGTCATTGGCATCTCCAATTTTCCTTCGCAATGCTTCAGACAATGATGACACTGCTTCTTCTGCTGCATATCCTCCTTCCGAGCAAAAGAAGCGCTTAGCTGCCATTCTTCATGAAGCTCTTGAAATTGTGTGCTGTGACAACATTGTTTTCGAAACAAGCCACCCTGAGCTTTACCGCCCAGCCAACACGTCTGAAAGAACATACGAATAATTGAAAGTACATTAAACTAATGCCTCGCTCCTTAAAATACTGATTCATTGATTCATTCATTCTACTATTCATTAGCATCTACGGAACCAACCTATGCGACTATCTGCAGAACCAACTCATGCGATAAAGTTCTTGTGGACAGTTTATCTCGCTGAAGGAAGGCATATCTTACAGTGTATGTCACCAATTCTTGAGGTTGCTGGTGGACTGCTACCGCTGTACTGGTCACCAGTGGCGGCCGAGGTCACTTGGTTTACTGTTGCTGACATCGAGCCCACTACAATCACAAAAATTGCGCTTCAACATCATTATTCGAAGGCACGCATCGTGTCATCATATTTCCCTTCACATCGCACTTCCTCACTGGATTCTATTTGATCAGAATCAAGCGAAACGTCGCTCCTCACAATTTCTTCGCATTACGGAAGGAAAAAAAAAAAGAGATTCACGCGACCGGGTCCTTATTTCAAATTACGCGCTAAATTCTTATTTGTTTTGTTCTGTTCTGTTGGTGAGAACGTTTACTGCCCTCGCGCCGTTCCAAATAGTGAGGGCAAAACACTCGCATTTGCGTATTCCCAGTGATCGAAAAACGTAAATACTGCATGCAGAAAGGCCAGGAGCACTGGTGGTCGCACTTTTCAAGAGTGAATTCCTCTCTTGAGCCACCGGAACTTTTTGCTTGAGAGCATCTCCCACCAACTGCTCCCCCAGAGTGCCACGTAGCATGCGTTTGCGTTTGAGCTCCTCTTTCCTACTCACAATCTTTTCATATCCGGAATCGGAACAAGCAAACAAACCGCATAATGAATTCAAGCACTTCTACCGACAGCACTACTAGTGCATCAATTGGGCGACTCTCTACCAACATGAGACCAAGAAGCTTTCGTCTACGAGCTCCCATTTTCCTTCAGAATGCTCTTGAAAGCAATGCTCTACTACCGCCGGTACTACTACCGGCCCCCTCTGCACAAAAGTACTGCCGATCTACCATCCTTGAGAAAGCTATCGAAATTGTGAGCGGTGACGACGAGTTTCCTTTCGAAAACAGTCACCCAGAGCTGCGCCAGTGAACCATATATCATAGACCATACCAATAATAGAATGTATTCCAGCAAATGTTTCCTTTTTCCTATGACGAGGACCATTGATTCATAATCAGCATGATCCACTTGCCTTCTTGATTCTTCTAGTGACCTGTTGTTGAGGCTGGAGGAGAGGAATTTGGTATTGACTCATGGAACTGATACGTATCTCTCTCACAAATTCAGCGTGCATAGGTCGCTGATGAATGCATAGGATGAATCAATCAATCATACTTTGTACTTTGTGATTACCCCATTTTCGTTGAGTCCCCCCCGTTTGATGTTTCGTTAGGTCCCCCATTGCCGTCTGTCCACCTAACGTGTGCGTGCTGCAATGCCTACCTACCGTTGGTCTACGTGCTTCGCTACCACACACCGCAGCTGGATGTTTGGATATCACAGCAACACTTGTCGTCACAAAGCTTTGCTGCAGCTTGGGTCATCTTTATCCACAACAATAATGGTACGCATCAGCCATTCAGTTTGAGGCAACATGTTTCCCATGAAGCTGAACGCTTGCAGTCGATTTGTTCGTTCATTCATCCTTTTCCACTCACATTCAATGCTTTGGATGTTTCCTTTTCATTCCACAGTCTCAATTCATTGTCAATCCTAAGCCTTTCTTGGGCGATCTGACCGGCAAAGAAGTCGTTGTTCGGCTGAAGTGGGGAATGGAGTACCGCGGGAACCTTGCTTCCAGCGACGCTTACATGAACTTGCAACTATTGCAATGCAAAGAGTTCATTGAAGGGGAATTGGCTGGCTTTTTGGGGGAAGTCTTGATCCGATGCAACAATGTCTTGTGGATCAAGGCGGCTATGCCAGATGAAGAGCAAGAGAAGGGAGAAGAAGGAGCTGTTGCTATGGAAACCTAGAGGTGCTTGGGCGCAAGCTCGTGCAAAAGACTGAATGGGCTTATCCAGGAACAAACTTCCCCTTCATTGGAAAGGCTCGTGGAAACTCCTCTCTCCCTTACCTCACCAAATAATTGGCGAGAATGACACTATAGAAGGTAAGACTTATCAATTTCACTTTGTTTTTTGACGACAGTCAGCGTCTCCATGCAATCATGCATTCTTGGAACAGTCGATTTGGTCGTCCACGAACAATGCAAGCGCAAGTCTCCCTCCTCCCCTCTATGATTGTAATTTATAGCTCCCGAATGGATTCACTCCTTGCATTATCTGGTTGCGAAATCAGGCAAGTACTGATCTCCGAAAGGAGATTGGTTTCGAGTGGGTTCGCTGCAAATAACTACACGCGTTGAGGACCATTCGGACTTTGTCCGCCATATCACCAACCCATATCTGAGAGGTATATTATTATGCTGAGGAGGGAAGACAAGTTTGTACTGCATTGGCAAGGAATTGGTGCATCGAGAGCGCTGACGTTGACAGCGACTGTGTATCACATCGTGTTTCTCCTTTGATGAATTGAACTATCCAGCTCATTCTATGTTTAATTGATTTCTTTTTCTTACAGACGAATGATTGTTGGTGCGCTGTGTGTAAGACGAAAGCTCATTTGTCACATCGTATCACATCACAAGGGCCATTCTCAATTGGGAAGCCAAATCAGAAGATTATAATCGGCAGAAGTAAACTCTTGTGTCACGGTGCGCTGGCTGAGCTGGTTAAGAAGTCATATAGCAAGAAAGTATAGTCAGTCTAGTTATCCTGGTTTATAATTTCCCTCCATCTATATGTGACTGCAAGATAGACAGACGATTGCAATCGTCAGCCATTTATCTATCTTAATCGTGGGGCCTTGAAACGTGCTGAGAATTCATCTGAGTTCCATTCATTCCCAATGTTATGCACGGGTTCCAAAACGTCATTAAAAAAAAATTATGCGAAATCAAACACTTCATAAATTTTCTTATTTTAATACATCGGTTATAATCAATTCAAATGATCCTATCAAAATCTGAATCAGCATGGCTTCATCACCTTCCGCTAAGAGGTACGAGCAACGTAATGTGGTCCATTGAGTCAAGCCTGCTGACGAGGCTGCCATTCCATGCCAGTCGTTTTCAAAACAAACAGCTTGAAACCACGCACGTGCTGGAGTATATTACACCTATCATCATTGTTTACTGCACATTGCACCCTTAGCCTTCCTGTGCGTGTTGTTCTGAATGTATCTAACAATCCATAAGCCACCTGTTCAGCCATTCCCATTGAAACCATTGCCATGAGACGACAAAGAACTTCGCTAAACCCACCACAACCAATTGCTGAAATTGATCTGCATGGATTTACCAAAGTAGAGGCCATTCAAAGGCTGACGATATTTATGGATGAAGTTAGCCGTCAATCCAAGAGACCTACTCGCACTTGCTGGGTCTTGGTTATTACTGGAAGTGGAGCCCATAGTCCTTATGGTCCCGTCCTTCGAACGGCAGTAGAGGGATTGCTTCAGAAACGTCAGATGGAGTATGTTCCACAAAGAGGCAAGGGAGGATTCATCGTCAATGCCCATTCCGGAATTGTCTTTTTCGAACCAGAACAACCAACGGATAGCAAAGTTGTTACTTCCCATCAAAATCCAAGTCTATCGTATGCATCCATCTTGGACAAGCATCGAGATCGAGTGCGGGCTCCTCCTTCTGATGTACAGTCGGAACCCTTGCCGTTTGAGGTTGCGGCTACGGATTCAGCAATAGAAGAAAGTCGGATAGAGGCGCAACGGGCACTAGGTAGAGAAGAAAAAGAAAAACATCTTTTGAAAAAGGCTTTGTCTATGTCGGCTTTGGAACAAGAGCAAGAACAAGAAGAGGAAACCAAACTATTGAAAAAAGCCCTGTCGCTATCCATGGCGGAAGCGACACCGGAGCCTAATGAGAATGAAGAAGAAGAACTCCAGGAAGCACTACTGGTAAGCCAACAGGAGGAGGAAGAAAAACGCAGGGAACAGCAACGGGAAGAGGATCTTTTGCTTCAGCGCGCTCTCTCCATGTCCGTTCTGGAAAAGCGACAAGAACTACACGATGAAGACGAATTGCTCCAAAAGGCCCTTTCGCTTTCGAAACTCGAAGTCAATAGTAGTGCTGACCGAGAAATAAAAGCGGCGTTGGAAGCATCCGTGGGGGATTTCAGCGCTGCTTTCCTGAATTATGGTGTACCTCAAAAGAATTCTGACATTACAGGAATAATATCCTTCGAGATGGATGAAAGGATATATGATCAAATGCCACAAGATGTGAGGAACCATCGTCCTTGCCGATAATCGTTCAAACTCCGCAGACATGCATTTCTTTGTTGTTTTTGCGTTATATGGGGAAGGGCTTACCTCCAAACAACTGCTAAACTGTTACGTACGTGTACCGGTAGTCTGGATTGTATAAAAGTACCATGTTTTTGTTTCCTCTGTGTATTTTCGTTGAACACGTTGAAGCAAATTAGCTCCTACAGTGCCAAGCTAGTTGAACATGTCAAACTTCCTGCAGAGTGATTGAGCGGTAAAAGTCAAAAGATTGTGAAGCGAGCATTTGATGGCCGGAATGTTGCATGCGGGATCATTTTTATTTTTCTTAGGGAAGGGAGCGCAGTTTTCTGAATTAGAAGTAGAAAGTCGAATGATGGAAACTACAGCGCTCTGTGTTATATGTGCGTCATCAACATATATAAAAAGAATACGAAGCGTTGAAATAAAATATCCCTCATAGATGATTCCGATCAAGAAAATGAGGAGATCAGGGATCAAAAGATTCTGATCAGAAAATTGAACCCACAAACGAAAGTTGGATTGATCACACAAATTCCAAACCGTTTCAAAACAATCATGTCCTTCCAATCTATCATCGACCTCAACACCAGGACTGTTGAGCTCATCCAACAGCAAAACTACGCAGGTGCTATTGAGGCTTCGTCCAAAGCCCTGAGACTCCAAAAATCGAATCTACCAGAGCTAGACAACCACCTCCTATCCACCACAGACAACGGTGCTCATCCTGGCTTCTTGGATCGATGCATGCTTCTTACCGAAACTGATGACAACGCAGCAACAGCTGCTGATACTTTCATTTACGGTACCGCCATATGCCTTCCTCCTACCGTCACAGATAACAGCTTGGTTTCTGCGATTCTCATATTCAACTCCGCCCTTGCCTACCAGCTTTATGCAGACACTCAAGCATCTCCTGTTGAGCTACTACTTCGTGCCAAGCGCTTGTATGGACTGGCAGCTCAACTTCGTGGTGTGGATAGGAACATTTTGTTTCAATTTGCTGTCATCAATAACTCTGCAGTCATTGAAAGGAAGATTGGGGACAAGAATACGGCAACGAGCTACTTTGAATACTTGATGGAAATATTTCTAGTATTGATCGATCGAGGATGCTCTAAACAACTGTCCCAAATCCGCGGCTTTCTCAACAATGTTCCAAAGCACAACGATAATTCCGCAGCAGCAGCCTAGATTATCTGCAGCTGCTTGTACATTACATTAATATGACATAACATACATTTGAATATTCCATACAATTGCTATTTCTATTTCTGTCGAACTGCTGTAGTCCACCGTTTCTGCTCCAAGTCCGCAATCCAATGTTTCTCTACAACTTCAGCTTTTTGCGTCACCACTCAAAATTCTCACTGGACTCTGGCGGATGAATGCATTCAGGTTTCTAAACATTATGATAGGGAACACACTGGAAAGCGAATTGTTTGTTTTTAATTTAAAAAAGTAGTTACGGTTCTTGCTAAGAATCGTACGTTGATCTCGTTGATAGTGGTCGTGCATGTGATGCCCTTGCGCGTCACTCAGTGGGGCTAACAAATCGGAGAAAATAAGGATTCCTGAACAGAAGAACCCATGCGAACACCAGATGATTCATTCCACCATAATAAAATAATTGGTACTGGAAGTGGTGGTCAAGTTGATGTAGGTATGTGACGCGCCGCTCAACGTGGGTTTTGAGAAAAGAAGAATTCTAGTCCAGAAGGACCTACTAGATGCGAACACTTTGGCATGTCAAGATGATTCCAGCACGATTTTTGTACTGAACATGATCAAGTCTTTTATGTGTACGAGTATGTATATATCATACCGGTATTTGATGCCCTGCTGATACGTCGCTCAACGGGATCAAGAAGTCGGAGATTCATTTTCTTGACATGGAGATTGCAACAACGAATTTGCATTCATGCGTCACCTCTGGCAGCTGGAAAAGATACAAAGTACAAGTATTATACCGCACAATATGGATGCATCGCTCTACAGTAGTATGGCGCGTGAAATAATGCTCCTGGCTACCGATGAACAAAACTGATTCAGTTGCTTTGCTGTGCGTCAGCAGTATCGCGTAGTAAAAGTTAGTAGTGCGAGATGTTCGGCATTGCTAGAACTTTCTACTCTATCCTAATGCTTACTATGTGCTAGAAAGAAGTCGCCTTCTCTTGGGGACTTCGGTTCTTTCGTCGTCACAATAAGGATGGTCATCATCATCATCATCATCGCGGTTCCGCTTTTTTGTGATGAAAGTACTCCTATCGGCATCATTCTGCTCCTGGTCATCACCATGAACAAGATCGTTTGGGATGGTTGCAGAACCCAAAAGTGAATCAAGTGGGTCGTACACCTCACAGTAGTCTTCAAACCCTTGATTGGCTGCCAATGCCCTGGCCCTTGCCGAAAATTGGGTTGATACACTTCGAAGAAAGTCAGGGTCAATGCTGTGATTTTGGGCATGTAAAGTATATCGAATGACAAGTTTCTTGTACGCTGATCTGTGTGGACCGTATCTTTGTAGCACTGAAATGTTGTCAGTGTCGTCGTGGTTGTTGTTCTTGCGGAAGGAAGAGGAAGGAGTTTCACCATTCAAGAACTGCTGTCGCCAGACGATGGACCGTACCTGATGTTTTATAACATCGAATTCTTGGCGATTGTACCACATGTCGTTGATCATCTCTGAGGTGAGTTCTTGGAGGGCGGTACTCTGGGTATCGTTTTCCTCGTTGGAAAAGCGAACTTGCTGCCAAGAACAAGGAGAAGACACTACCATGCTAATGTTACAAAATGTTGGTTGGCTACTAGCTTCAAAAAAGGGCTTTCCATTGCTTTCGGTCGTACTGCAGGTTTGGTTTTCTGTTGGGAGTCGCATTCAGCATTCTACTTCACGTTTCAAGTGATCCGTTTTATAATATGCCCTCCTTTTATTGGTTTTGTGACGCAAGATTTGAAGTTCGAGCAATAGCGCGAGATTCCAAGATGTTCTTTTCGCCGGGTAAAAATTCGTCATCATGTTGGTGGATGCAGCTCGAAGATCTCTTGAGCCTATCTGGTTCGTCCTTGTACCGCGCACGTCGACAATACTTTACTTTGACACGATTGCGATGGTACCGCATGATTCCCTTCATTCATTCATGTGCCACCATACTATGATATATACTTCAGTGCAAAGTGGTGAGACTTGAAAATATCGGAAGTATGAGCCCTCCAAGCAAGGGACGACCGAGCATACTGCGCCTATCTTTTCCGCTAAGAATATAGACTGCACAGAAACTCTAATCATGATGAAAAAGAGGAAGGAAGAGAACCAACAACGGATTACTGTTAGTGTTCTTTCTAAATGCTCTCATGTCCGAGCATTGTAGCAAATGCAGAAGAAGGTATCAATATTTCGACTGAGGCGAGCTGAACGCCATGCAGCAAGAGCCTCTCATCTACAAAGCTTGTGACGACAGGAGACAGGATGTACGTATCAATCCACGATGAATCGGGAATGTTTCAGTTCGGCTCAGCATGGCTACATTCAAAATAGCTTTTAGTTTTATGTAATCATTTCTTTGAAGCCTCTTAGTAGGCTCCCGCCATCCCCATGTCTTGAGTGGCAAGGATGTCGTAAACACAGTCCTTGCGGTCGAGAGCATCGGTCAGACTAGCGCATGCTTTCTCAGCATCTTCAACACTGATGGAGGACTCTTCCAGGCGGCGACGACGTTCACCACGAGGATCTTCAGGATCGATACATTTCGTGGGAAACTGTGGTTCCTCGACCGTGTGGAATAACATGAAATCGATTGGAAGGACTTGCCATTCGTTTCCGAAATTGTAGAAGTCGTCAATCTCGGTTACTCCATCACGGGCCAATGTCTTTCCAGTCTTGAAATCTCCAAGCATACCAACGGCGTTTCCAAAGGCATCCAAAGATGGGTTCTTGAAGTCAACCTTGACGAATTCCTTCCAGACTTGAATTTCGATCGTGGCACCTGGGTACTTGGAGCTCAAGTCAATCTGGACGGTCTTTTTGTTGGCGTTTTTGTCCTGTGTGTTGTAACTGATTGGGAATCCGCCAATAGTCTTTAATGGACCCTGGAATTCAAGGTTCATCCAATAACGAAGTTCCAAGGTGCCTTCAGCATCTCCTTCCACTTCAAAGATATCAGTACCAATGCGAATGGCGGCACTCTTGATGTAAGACCAGAAGCGAACCAACTTGGTACGGATTTGCACGTCGAAACCGAGACCTTCAGCAAAGTTAGGATCCTTGGCCAAGACCAAATCGCACTGTCCATGGTACTCAAAATGTTCATTTCTCCAAGTCTTAAAGTGGGGATCACCTTGACTTCCAGCATCGCTTATCTCAGCTCGAGAGTTGCCAGCTGGAGCATCAGTGGTGTCATCGGGTACATCCGGGATCAAAGGAGTCGACGATGGTCTCAAAGTAGGTGTCCGGGTAGGATTGGAGGTAGCAGGCGATGGTCGCGAAGTAGGTGCCCGAGTAGGATTGGAGGTAGGAACTGGAGTTATTCCTGGTTTTGGAAGAGGAGTAGGAAAGGGGGAAGGGGGCGGAGTTGGTCCGGAAGTTGGTTCTTCCGTGATGGTTACTGTGTCCGTATCTTCAATTATCTCAATGTATTCATCACATGCTCCTTCACCAAGGTAAACGCACTCGACCACACAACCTTCGTCCAACTCGTTGTCGACGGTACACTTGGTGATGATTTCTGGCGTGGCTTCTTCAATGATCTTATCGATGTCGATATCGAAGCTGGAAATGATAACACAATCGAAAAGCAGACATTAGCAAACAGTCTTTCAATCCCAACATTGTAGCACAACAATATCATTTCAACCGATACTTACTTGTCATCGCCCTTGGTTCCAGTACAGAAGTCGTGATCCGAGTGGCCCATGGTTGGTTCATACGTAAAGTGGGATTCGGGAGCTGTCAAACACCAAGTCAACGAGTAATCGTAAGCCTTCTTTCCGCGACGATCGCGACGGTTGGTTGGAATGCTGACAGCTGTTCCATCATGCTCATGCCAATCATTAGACCATTCGCCATCGGGCTGACCAAGAATACCAACCAAGCTTCCATCACAAGGACAGTCGGCCAAGTAGTATGTTACACTGAAGTGGCAAGTGTTGCGCCACACCTTCACATCCATGTCCAATCGAATTTGAGTATTAAGATATTCGACAACGATTCGCTTGCCCTTGGTTTGAACGGTGGCATCACTCAATCCAGTGCCAGCGTCAATGTCGGTAGCAACCCCATTCACAAAGAGTTGAACTGGACACTGACCGAACATGGTCACAAGCTCACTGTTGGAGCTGCTGCCGAGAGAAACTTGGATGGTAGGTTGTCCAGTCTCGTAGACTACAACACCGGTGGTGACAGCTGGTCCCTTTGGATGGTTCGATACGATTGCAGTTCTGGCTTGGATGGTGAAATCTCTTGCTCCCAAAGACTTGAGGAAAGTAAGTTCACCCTTGACGTGGACGTCGTATGTAACACCATCAAAGGTGATGATGTGTGCTGAATTATTTCAAAACAGGGACAGCATGAGTGGTTAGTATCAATGAATAATGCAATTACAAACGCAAGCGCATTCAATATATGACTTACGATCACCCCAGCCAACGGCCTTGCACACGGGACAGTCTCCTCCAACGGGTGGTGTATCGGAAACTTGCAATGTGATCTCGGGTTCCGGAGGGAAAACAATAGGTTCAGTCTTGGTCTCAGCGATGACAGTAGCAACAGTATCGGTGAACTCTTTGCATGCATCTTCTCCACCAAAGAAGCAGTCAACAAGGCATCCTTCATCTGGTCCATCGTCGCCATCCATAGTACACTGAGCAATCACTCCAGGCGTTGTGTCCTCGAACTCTTTGATGATGGCACCAATGTCGATTTCAAAGCTGAAAAAGTCAGGCAAGCAAACAGTATTGTCAGTACAATGCTCGACCGTGCATATCATCAACAAGATTCGATACATCAAAACTTACTTGTCGTCTCCTGTAGCTCCGGTACATTCATCAAAGTCGCCATGGCTCATGTTTGGTTCGTACGCGAAGTGCGATTCTCCAGCAGTGATGCACCAAGTTCGAGAGTAATCGTACGCCTTCTTTCCGCGACGGTCACTGCGGCGAGAAGGAATGGTCACAGCGTTTCCGTCATGATCATGCCAATCATTCGTCCAGTCCTTGGGAGAGTCAGGTTGTCCAAGAATACCAACCAAAGTCTCGTCACATCGACAGTCCACCAACCAGTAGTTGACACTGAAGTGACACTCATTACGCCAGGATGTTACCTTGATATCCAGTTTCAAGTTCGTAGATGGGTACTCAACAACAATACGGTTGCCGTTCACTTGCACACTGGCTCCAGTAGTACCTGATCCGCCCAAAATGCTCTTGACCTCCTTGTCCACGAATAACTGAACATAACACTTGTCGTTTCTGCCAGTGGTGAACTCGGTGGCCAATTCACTGTCCGCGTCCTGTCCAAGAGAAACCTGAATATCGGGAAGTCCAAGTCGAGAGTCTTCGTGGACAACAATTGCTGTAGTAACAGCTGGTCCTTTGCGGTGGTTCTTGACAGCAACTGTTCGAGCCTGAATAGTGAAGTCATTCTCAGGATCCAAAGACTTGAGGAAGGTTAGCTCACCCTTGACATGGACATCGTAGGATAGACCATCGAAAGTGACAATGTGTGCTGAATGGATAAAAAACGAATTAACTTGTGGTCAGTATAATAGGAAGAACAAAAGACAATACCAATGTAGCAATAATAGCGGACTTACGATCACCCCATCCAACAGCCTTGCACGTAGGACAGTCGGCGTTGCCAAGGTCCTCGGGAACTTGCTCCACAATCTCAATGTCAGCAGTTTGAGTTTGCTTCATTTCGTGCTGCAATCCTTCGTCGTTGTTGAAGTTGTCAATGATCTCTTGAACAACAGCAGTATCCGCTGGGTCCGCGAAGGCAACGGTATCGAGAACACAAAAGATATCTTGATGGCAGGCCTTCTTGATGGCTTCATCAGCATTATTCACGGCACTTGCTAGCTCGCCAACATTGCTGCAATTCAAATCATTAATAAGAGACAATAAAGATTTAGAGACAAAATATCTTCAAAATATCTTCAATGTTCGAACGTGTCGATTCGCTCGTACAAGAACTTACGGATTGTCACAGATGTCATAAGTATCGAAACTGGTATCATGCTCATAAGCAAAGTTGGAAGCAGGCTCGTTGGGGACACACCAGTTGTCACGGGCATATTCCATGGTAGGGGCGAACCCGCTTCCGCGACGAAGATTGGAAGGAATGGAGAGAGGATTTCCGCCAGTGTCCATCCAATCATTGCGCCATTCTCCATCGGGAGAGCCCAAAATGCCAACAATGTCATCGCGGCAAGTACCCAAAGTGTAGGTAACTGAAAAGTGACATTCGTTGCGCCAGCTGGTAACGTCCATCACCACCTTGATCTGGGAAGCACCAGGATATTGAACAGTGATCCTGCTTCCTCGGACATCGACCTTGGCCTTGTCGCTTCCGGATCCGTGAGAAGGCTTGCGAAGGACATCATCAACATAGAGCTCGACTGGACATCCATTGATGACCTCGGTACATGGATCATCTTCATCACGTGGCATGGAAACTTGGATCTTGGGCATGTTGTCATCGGTAATGACGAGGCCAGTAGTGACAGCAGGCTTGGCAGGATGATTCTCCACAGGCTCGGTACGAGCTTGGATTTGGAAGGAAGA